AAAGTACAAGTAAAACAATTATGTGCAGTATGAGTTTCTAATTTAATAAACTTGATATTTAAAGAAACTTCTGGCCGGTAAGGCACTAGTGCACGTCGACTTTTAAACGAACTATGTCATTAAGCATTTATATATATATATTATATATATATATATATATATATATATATATATATATATTATGAAACACACACATATATCTAATATAGACAATGTAAATTTAGAACAACCTTTCTTAAATTGAAATTCTTATTACAATAATTAAATTATATTTACAAAATTTGGTACCTTTCTGTCACTGAATGCCTAAATGAAACTGTTTTCCAAAATAAAGATTTTAATCACCATTCAATGTCTTCGTTATCAGCCTCGGTTATCCTTCTTTTTGTGAAATTGCTTTACCAAATACACAACAATGTTTTAGTTATCAGCTTCCACCATTTTAAAATATTTTTCTTAATAGGATTTATAAATCGGCAAAATATTCTTCATTCTTTATTGCTTTCTTGTTTATTCTTCTTTCTAATAAATTTTTTTTCTTCCAATCTCCAATCACCATATAAATATTATAATTTTTAATTTCTTCTAATCTCCAATCACCATATAGGTAATATAATTTTTAATCTCTTCGAATCTCTATAAATAAAAATATATGTACTATACTACAAATTACAATACTATAAAACTTTAATACTAAATCACTGATTACTGAATATCTTGAATACTGCATTACTGACTTTAATATTCTAATACTGACCATTGCATACTATATACTCCCTAATACTCACTATTAACTACTCTATACGTCCCCTTTCCTTCAAATTACAGAGTATTTATATCATTTTAATGTTTCCGAATATTCTTGAAAGGAAATATATTCGAATCGTTCTATTTCATAGACGCTCCAATGTTCGCGAACATTCTACTACGAAAAAAAGGTTAAGTTCTTTCTATTGACGTCTTATTTAACAGTTCTAGATAATTCTATCGAGAATTTTATAGAAATTTAGGCTTTTCAGATCAGAATGTAAACGTATATATAAATTAAACATCTTAAATTAATAAATAACACTATTTTAAATCCCTAATTAATTATTTCAACTGTCTCTTATTCAGTCTTCATAACTAAATTTACTTCAGTGTATATTTGGTTGCCTATAAAGATGGCACACTCAAATATATTTATAATATCATAATTATTAAAATAACCAAATGAATTGCAAAATAAAAACTTTTTAAACTTATTATTATACTAATTTCTTAAGAATGTCCTCATATAAATACGTTTTTATAATATTCTCTAGTATATAACTTATAAATTATAATATATATATATATATATTATATATATATATATTATATATATATATATATATTAATATATAATATATTATTTTATTTGTTTTGTAAAAAAGTGCAAATTGTTAACTTATATATTTTGAAAATCCCATGCATCCCATCATTAGCTCGTTCTAAGTTCACTGCACGACGTAGGCCTCCCTTGTTTGTATATAGAATTAACGGTCTTTAATTTATTGGCTTAATATACAAAAATAGTTTTGTTTTTGACAAGTCAAAGGAATAGTGACAATTATTACATACATTAATTATAAAATTTAAATAAAATTGTTGGGAATTTAAACATTACAGATATATATTTATTACTAACAATTTAAAAATAAAAATCACTTTTTTAAAATAAAAAAAAAGATTTAAAAATGACCAAACTAGCACTGTTGTATAAAACCTATACTTAGGTACTCTGTTTTTAAATAGAAATAATGTTTTACAAATTATCATTTGTTTCAAAGCTTAAACGATGATAAGTAAAGAATTTTTACTTGGCAACAAGTTAAACAAACCAACATCAGATGCTCACAGTTCACATTAAATAGCCTGATGAGCAAGTTTATAAAAATTTTACTCAAAATTGTCCATCAACGTAATACAGAGAATGCGAAAGAAATCTGAGCAAAAATCAATTTGAATTTCGTATGGGACCTGGTACGAGGGAGGCATTCTTTGGGCTTCGTTTAACATTTAGTTAAACAGCTATTACCCTTGTACTTGTTCACTTCTTTAATGATTTCTAAAATATCTTCATCAGTTGCATCTATTATTGGACGACCACTATTGCTAGCAACTTGCGGTTGAAATGTACCCGCTTCCTGTAAACGAAGATTAATGGTCAAAAATAATTGTCTATCGGGTGTATTTCGATTGGGGTATTTTACTGCATAAATAATCTGGGAATTATCTGGGAATAAGTCGGTAAAAAGAAAAGCTTTTAACCAGTGCGTTCTACTAGTCCTCACATACGGAGCAGAAACCTTAACTCTCACAAAAACATCAGCCGAAAAGTTGAAAAGGACACAACGAAAGATGGAGAGATCAATGCTTGGAATAAGCTAAAGAAATAGAATAAGAAACGAGGAAGTTTGTAGACGAACCGGAGTGGAAGACATTATCGAACATATTACAAGGCAAAAATGGAGATGGACAGGACATGTTGCAAGAATAAAAGACGACAGTTGGACATAAAAGCGAAGCCGAGGAAGACCCCCAACGCGATGGACCGACGACCTGAAAAGAATCGTGACCAATTGGATAGCAGAGGCACAGAACAGAAGCAGATGGAAAAATCTAGAGGAGGCCTATGTTCAACAATGGACAACTCAGGGCTGATTGATAATGATGATGATGATTTTACTGCTGATAACACCTTGCGGCTGCTGCACTATTTCCTTGATATTCACCTACAATAATCCCGATAGTTTATTGAAATCGTAATTTATTCTGACCTAACTTACCCAGAGTTAAATGCATATCTGCCATTTTCTGAAATGTGTAGTTCATTGTAATATCAAAATTTTTAATATTAATCTTATTCACACAATACATGATAGCTTCAAATTATTGACTATTATTGATGGAAATGTTATAAAATATTGTATCCGTAGAAACTAATTGTAATTTTTGGCCAACAAGGAAAAAACTAGTTTTTCGACAAAAACATATATAAAAGACATAAAGTTAAACTGTGTTAAATTAATAATCCATTGAAACAAAATTCTTTTGATTTAAACGTACTCAAAAGTTTGGGGAAATTTAGGGCTACAAATCTCCCTTAAAATTTTTCTGCGCGCTTAGATTTTGTTGTTTGTTATGTGTGAAAAATGTTTTCAGAAACAGAAAGTAATGTGTCCATTTTTATTACAAAATGTCAAGTAGTTGAAAAGGGCTGTAACTTTTTTTATGTACACTTTTGTACTAACGTAAGTTGGATTCAATTAATTTATTTTTGTCCCCGGAATTTGTGATTTAATTTATCACATACCTTGTTAAAACACCCTGTATATTCCTCCTTTTGAAAACTAAAACATAAATTCAATTGATAAAAAATAAAAATTACAAAACTTTACGAGTTTGTATGTCGAAATATATTCTGCTGCGTCATTAATAGGTCTTAGATGCCACTCGTATGATAAACATTTGTTCGACAAGACAAAAAATAACCTCTTTCAAAACATATCAAACATATCGACTAATTAAAGGAAAATTGCCGAGTAATAAACAGAAACCTACTTATGAGCATAAACTCGTTACTGCTCATCTTATAATAACAAATCAATTCTGTCACCTGCAGATGTCCAGGGTCAAGTTCGACAACTCGAAAGAGAAATTAGCCTTTTTTCGTTCATATTAGTGACCAAGCGGCATACTTTTTTGGTAACTTTCTTAAGAAATTTCAGTAAGAAGGTCAATAGAATAAAATAAACATAAAGTAGTGTTAAATCCCAATCACTTGGCAGGCATGTTCAGCTTATAAATTTAATTTATAGTTTGGAATTTAAACACAAATATTTTGTGATGTTCCAGAAGAAAAAATAAATAAAAGAGCATGAAGTAAAGTAATATAGGAAGAATAAATATGAAGTCAAACACGGGAAAAGCTAGAGAATTTTATAGCAGGGAAAAATAGATAGAAATTTGACAGTTGACAGTAATTCATATTATAATTAACAAAACAGAGAAATTAAATAAACTCACCTACCAATTCTTGTAATTTAGTCTTGGATATAAAACTGTTTTAATGCTCCTGTAATTTTATATAATTAAGAAGAAGAGAAGAAATGTCTTCCTTTAAATGTAAAATAATTATAAATGCCAATATTTTTAAATATATTCACTTTGTATTTACTTTTATTTTTAATTCGATTTATTTTGCTTTCGTTAAAAAATGAAATAATATTCAAATATGCCTGATTTGATTTACTTTCAATAAATCATTATTAACTAATATTTGAATATGCTTGATTGGATTTACTTTCAATAAATCATTATAAAATTTACACTTTTTTTATTAAGAAAATTTTATTGACTTTGCTATTTAAGTTTTAAGTTTATCATTTTTATTTTACTACTATATTATCAATTACTTAATCAAAAAGGGTACAATGTTTTTTTTTTATTTGTTTCAAAGTGATGTTTTGACTATTTTATTGCAGTATTGTTCTGAAGCTATTTTCTTGTGGCATTTTAAATTAATTACTATCTAACTGGAAATAAGCCACAATTAAAGATAAAAATAAGTTTATTGACGTTTCAATTTCCACTTCAGAAATCGTTCTCAAAATACAAACCTATTTTGTATTTTGAGAACGATTTTCGAAGTGGAAATTGAAACGTCAATAAACGTATTTTATCTTTAATTGTGGCTTACTCCCAGTTAAATAGTAATTATTTTATTGCAGCTTATTGCAAATACAAATAAAAAATGGGAAGTAATAAGGAAAAGAGTTTTTAAAAATAATTTATTATTTCTTTAAAAAATAACAATAAATAAGTCTAGCCCAGAAAACTGGGCAAATGGTAAAAAGTCTTTGTCTGTCGATGTCTATAAAATTAAATAAATTACATAAATAAGTGTATCGTTTTTCTTGACTTAGTCTAGAATCGCTGAGTTTTGGCAGGTACTAGAACCATCAACAGTTCCTCACGCTTGTTTGGCTTGTGGATGTCCCCTGTATGCTAACGATTGGGCATCGAGAGATCTGCCCCATCCGCCGGAACCGCCGCCGCCGTATCCTCCGCCGATGTCACCTCCATAGCCGCCACCGTGTCCGGAACCACCAGCATAGGCCGTTTCGTGAGTGGAAACGTGAGCTGAAGAATGAGAAGCATGTGGAACTACTTCGTATGTGACGTGTTTACCGCCGCCGCCTCCGCTACCCAAAAGTTTTTTAAGTCCAATAATGGCTGAGAGAACTAAAGCAATTTTACCAATAAGAAGAGCTTTACCGGCGATGAGGGCGATACTGGCGAGGGCGAGTTTTCCAAGAATGGCTGCTTTAAGTCCCATCAATCCCATGAGAGCACCCATTTGACCTTTTCCCTTCTTACCGCCTTTCCTCTTTCTTGATTCACTGGCACCTTCGATCAGATTTTCTTCTTCTTCCAAAGATTCGGCATAATCGTTTAATGAACGGGCTGTTGATTGCACTGCGTTGACAACTTCACTACCTTTCAAATCGATTTTCAAAGTATGGGATCCCAAGAACGATGTAATCCTGTTGAAAATGACAGATTCGATAGTGTCGTCACTGCTAATAGCGCGTGGAGCACCATCTTGTTCACCACCGGGAGTTTTGACGAACTGAACACCATCCATCACTGTAATTGTTTCCCTGTTGCCGATCATCTTGTCCACGAAATTAAAAACTTTATATTTCAGACAAGACATAGAGTCTTTTTTAAGGCAGTCGTTGTAAACGGCATCCAAAAGATCGTGTTCGGTTTGAACTGAATTACCGCGCGCTTCATCGTGTGCCGTAGGTAACGCACTGATTGACGCGACGATACACAAAAACAAACCAGCTAGCTTAAAAAATGCCATAGTGGTGAAGATGAACAAACTGATTGTGGTATGATGAACTGAACTCAGTGTATGGATATATATCAGCGAGCCCCTTCCCCTCCTACTAGCGTTTTGGGTCCAGAGGACCCGCGGGGCGCTGTCATGGACCGCTTTCTCAGAATAAGCGTCTAACCTAGTTTTGGACGTCGTCCCCAAGAAGTATATGTGTATGTGCGATATGCAGCCACGAACCCACGGATGCGTTAACTAGGTATTCATAAAATCTACGTGGGTGTGCATACACTTCCGTAGTACAGTGCCACGGTCTAGGCTACGACGCCCAGAGGTCATTTTCAGTTACTTATTTCTCACCGTTTTATTCAGCTCAACTCGATTCATTCTTTGAATGAAAGTGAAACTAAATCGTATTTCGTGTAGATACAGGATGTACATACTTTAAAAAACGAACATGCACCTTTTATTACACAATAATAGCATTTTACTTCAATCTTGTTAAAGGTTTACCGTTAAACTGTAATGCATTTTCTTTTTGCATACTTGTTAATGCAGTTATTCGCTAAGTAGATTTATACAGGGTTTGTCAAAATAATCGTTCAGTACAATTTAATTTTTTTATGTTTTCAAAACAAGTTTTAGTAGACTGTAAAAAAAAGTAGTAGCAGTATCATTTATAATATATATTTATCTATTCGCGATCACTTGACTGATTTATTGCAATTGGAATAAATCTTTCTAATATATCTTGCATTTTATTTGTTTGTTTTTAGTTGATTAGCATTTCTGTTATTTGCCTTTTATTGGTTTTAATTCTTCTGCTATTTCGATGAAAAGCTGTTTATGAGATAAATTCTTCATGGTCAAAGTAAGGCTTTGTGTTTCTTTACACGACAGTTTTTTACTTCTTATTTGGTTTTATTTAACCAAATATCCTTCTTTATTTACTTATCTATTATTTTTTTCTTCTTTTTCTTACTTTATAACTAGGCTTAATGCCTGTTTTACTTCGGTTTTTAGCTTCAATTGACGTTGTCTGATCATCTTTTCCTCGGTTGTCCCAATGATCTTCTTCCATTTGGAGATTTGTCTCTTGCTATTTGTATTATTCTATTTTCTGCCATTCTTTCGATGTGTTGATTCTATTCCAATTTTCTTCTTTTGATCCACGCGTTTATTTCCTCTATACTACATCTCGCTTGTATTTCCTCACTTCTTACTCTGTCTCTTAGAGTTTGGTTTGTTATTTTTCGTAAGACTTTCATTTCTGTTGTTTGCAGCAGTCTTTTTGTTTTCGCTGTATTTGCTTTTGTTTCCGTTGTGTACGTCATTATTGGTCTTATTGTTGATTTATATGTCTTGGTTTTCGTTTCCGTTGTGAGGTATTTGTTTTTCCAGATTATGTTGTTGAGACATCCTGCTGCTCTGTTTGCCATGTTCACTTGTTATCAACTGTTATCAACCATGTTCACTTGCCGCTGATATCACTATTGCTTTAGTTTTCTCTGTCGAGATCACCATGTTGTATATGAGCGCCGTATCTTCGAATTCTTTAATTAATCTTTTTAGGTTATCTTTATTTTCAGCTGTTATTATGGCATCGTCGGCGTAGCAGATTATCCTTATTTCCATTTCTCCCATTCTATATCCTCTTCTTTCAATTTCTTTATGATTTCATCCATTATCAGATTAAATATTAATTGGCTTAGCGAATCTCCTTGTTTAATGTCAGTTTCATACTTGATAGTTTACAATAGTTTTCCTTTACATCTTACCATAGCTGTGTTGTCTTTATATATTCTGAATGGTTTTTACTAAATCCAGTGATATTCTCTTTTCATATAATAAATGTATCGCGTCCCGAATTCTCACTCTATCAAACGCTTCCTTTAAATCTAGCAAACACATATATTGTGGTTTGTTGTATTCCAGCGACTTTTCTTTTATTTATCTTATTACAAAAACTGCATCCGTGCATACTCTTCCAGTCCGATATTCTTGCTGTTCCTTTTGCAGAGATATTCGTTCGTTTATTTTTGTCGCTATTAGTCTTGTTGTCAATTTGAGTGTTGTATTTAAAAGATTTATTGCTCGATAGTTATTGGGGTCTTTTTTATCTTCTTTGTTGAAGAACATCACCATGATCGCTCTCCTTCATTCATCTGTTCAAGTGTTCATTTGGTATTTGATCTTCTCCTGGTGACTTTTTGTTTTTTAATTTGTTTATTCCTTCTTTTACATCGTTTTGGGAGATTTGGGTCTTTTCCTCAGTTATTATATTTGGCGTTTCTGGTAAAGTTTCTTCGTTTACCTATTATTTTGTCAGTTCTTCTTTGCAACAAAATTTCGTAACGATGAAAAAAGTTGCTAAACTATATAAGCCTTCTATCATTGTATTTTTATTACAACAGTACATTGCCTTTAGGATTTCTTATTTTATTTGTGTTCTTTTACAGTTATCCTTTTATGTTAAGGGAAGTATTCATGTATTACTAGAGGTAATGGATTTTGACAAAAGCTATGAGTCATGCCGATTTAGTACACAAGTTTACCTGCTATTTACAAGGTCATAGCTCTTGTCAAAATCATCCGCTTTCTTTAAGGTCTACGTTTCGGATGCGTATGTGGCTATGGGAAAAATGAGTGCCCTTACCAGCCTTAGTTTTGTGTGTATTGTTATGCATCCTTGCCTGACACCTGCCTCTGTTCTGAAATGATCGGAATTGGTGTTGTTTATTTTTACTGTGCTCTTATTAGTTTCCGCTAATACATTTCCGCTAGTATGGACCATAGCTGCTGACATTTGACTTTATCGAAGGCCTTTGTGTAATCCACAAAGCACATAAGTATAGGAGTATTGAATTCACGGGTTGTTTCGATCAGCTGTCTGACATTTAGGATGTGCTCTCTTGTGCCTTTTCCTGGGACAAATTCCACTTGTTCTTATGATATCTAAGGCAATAGAAAAGCTTTTAGTCTTGCATGTATTTTATGAAGTAGAACCTTGCTTGCATGAGACATTAGGGTTATCGTTCTATAGTTGCTGCAATCTAGCGGAGTTCCTTTTTAAATATAGGGATGAAAGGGGACGTGGTCCAGTCGTTGGGCCACTCTCCAGTTTCCCAAATCTTGTTGCAGATCATATGCATAATATTTACTCCAACATCTAAAGTCTCTTTTAAAACTTCTGCGCTGACTTGGTCTACTATGAACAGGTCACCACAGGATAATGAACAGAAATCAGATCGACTTTTTCTAACCAATCTAAGATTTATAAATTCCATTGTAAGCGTTAAGACTTTTTCTTTAGAAGATATCCCCTCAGACCATAACTTGCTTGTCTCAAAAATTAAACTGTGGGTATAAAAGATAATAAAATCCAAAAGTTCTAAGGTGAATACTCAGTTAGTCAAGATAAAAAAAATCGATGCTGAGGCTTTAACTTGTATCAATCAAGAAATGAAGAAATTAACATCAGAAATAAACAAAAACTGAGAATGTGAACATTATGTGGAGCAAAATCAAAGATTCAATGGGTAACAAGATGACTTATCCAATATGTTCCTCTAAAAGTATATTTTCGTGGATATTTTAATTTTCTCTAAATGCAGAACTGATCTGTGTTTTACACAGATTAGTTCTGCATTCAGTCTGTCTGTAACATTATAATTTGTACTTTGAAAAATAAGGCTATTATCGAGTACAAGTTAATTAAATCCAGCCCAAGTACTTTAGCTTAAAACAGCATCTTCAGGGGCATCTGAAATAAGCCAAGAAAACGTTTTTTAGATGAAGGAAATTAGTTAACTTCGATAAAAAACTCGAAGTTAATGGATGAAAAAAAGTTTTTGAGATTAACGTTTTAGACTTACTTCGTCAAAATATAAACTATCTGGTAAGCGTAGAATGTGGAAACATTAATAATAACATAAAATTGTACAAAACACTACACTAAAACGAGGACAAACAGTTTAAAATTACTTTAAAGATTCTACGCTACATTCGTTGTCAGTATCTGGAGGGATAATGATCTAAGCGGAAATGATACGGTGACATGTGACATATGACAACTTTGATAGGCAGTCAAAGTTATGGATCTGTGATCAGCACATATTAAAATTCTGTATAAGTTGTCATTGGCCAAAGGTCCAACTAGAACTACTACTGAAAAAATCAGCTGATGAAGTATGACATAAAATATTTTAATTTAATAATCCAGATCTCATACTCACACCTGTCTGTAATAATAAGGTTCTAGGTTTGAGGCTAAATGAAGTGTACATAAAGTGTGAATGAAAGAAATAGACCAAACGATCTATTGGACAGTAGGTAGTTGACTACAATAAAATGGTCTACCAGGCACTGTCAATACTGTTAAAACGAGAAGAAAAAATTGACTATGAAATTGAAATATTCAAATTAAATCAGAATTGAAAGCAGTGTATAAATGGGTATAGTTCGAGTAGCTCAGTTAAACCTCAAGCCAATGGGGGAACTGTAAAGCTAATATGTAATAGCATTACTAAAGACCAACTAACCAACAGGTGTTGAAATATAAAACTGTGGAATTAGTGAGAATTGCAAAAGATAGGGAAGCGTGGAAGCAATTGGAGGAGGCCTATGTCCAACATTGAATAAATGAAGGCTGAAGAAGAAGAAGAAGAGAAGAAGATTATGCAGTGGTATGAAGAGTGAAATCAACTCCAACTGTGGATCAATTGAATCTGAGCAAGCTAATTGTGTAAATTGTTAAATACAATAGTAATGCTGAACAAAGCATGAAATTGGTAGATTCTTAATGTATAAACTCAGTGCAGGAGGTCTAGACA